GTCTTGAGCTATATTAAGTTGAAATAGACACAGAGCTAATAATTTCGAAATGTTCTAACCTTATTTGCTGTAAAAGGCAGGTCCAAAAGCCAATTTGACGTGTTTCTGTCACCATTTGTCGCACGTAAAGCAGAAGTTTGCTTTTGCTTACACAACGTCCGATGTACATCGCCAACTGTCAACTTATTTAATGGTCGAATACCAACCAATACCAACCCAGTACACATTTAAACATTGCAGAAAAATATTTGAGTGTTTTTAAGACGGAAGAATGATCTGGTTTTGCATGCGAGGCTCTCAAACTTGTTTAATAAAATGGTGCATCAAATGACGATTTTATCGGAATTTGTTAATTTGCATATTTCTTTGAAATAAACGGATATTTTGCCAAAAAAACTATCCAGTAGTTTTTGACATGCCCAAGCCTATCTACCATAGGTATATGAGCGAAATAGAATTTTCGACCCTTGCCGCGAAATTAAGAATTTGTCTGATTTTTACAGGTAGGCACTCTTAAGCATACTGACACAGTATAAACAGATGTGACGGTGGACGAATCCAACCTGCGGCACCTTTGGAAATCGAAAAAAAAAAAAAATGTACGGTTAAGCGATCTTGATTGGACTGCAGCCCGACTTGACCGGATTGCAGTACCAGTATGAATAAAAAGGCCCTCCGGAACTACTTGAAGCAGTACCTGCCTTTCATAAGAGCCGGAGATCTCGGAAAAAATATAAATATGCACTGCTCTAGAATAAGCGCCGCGCCTGAGACGTACATAACACTTATTGGAAAAAAACATTGAGCTCTAATGCAGTGCTTATTAGATGAGGATTATGTCCTTTTGAAGGTACTCAACTCCCAGCTGTAAAAAACAAAACAAAACAAAACAAAACAAACATACAAAACGGCAAACAAACAAACAAACAAACAAAAAGAGAGCAAACTTGATCGTGTTTTAGCTTGGTCGAGTTATTGTTGTCGTTGATATCGTGTTATTTTCTTTTAGCTTTTTTTAAAAAAGTTTTTGAGAGTCCTTTAATTATAAGATGTAATCGTGTTAAATGTCAATTTATTACAGGTATGACTGTATTTNGAATATGAGCGAAATCGAATTTTCGAGCCTTGCCGCGAAATTAAGAATTTGTCTGATTTTTACAGGCAGGCACTCTTAAATCATCTCTCATACAAGTTCTTGTTAAAATTAACAACAATGATTATGATATGTACTAATAATATTATAAAATAATAGAAAGAAAAATTAGCTAAGAAACGCCCTCTGAAACAGATGTGTTTTAAGACACTTTTTAAAACTACTTACAGAAAAGATATTTCAACCTTACACGGCGGGTGAGGCTAAATCGCGCAGGTGGGTGGGTTGTGGGTGGCTGAGTCAAGCATTGTGCATCGTGGTTCGTGGTCATGCATCATGCCCAAAGATAATACTAGATTTTATAATATAGATCCAAATAGTCCAGATGATAAAAAGTGCATTAGTTCCTTTTAAAGAATAAATATCCAGACTGAGCCAAATTACGAAATTCAAAAGAGTCTATTTATGAAACAGCTAATGGATTTCTTTTAAAAGTTTTACTTATCTTTATCTTTGATAAGAATTGTATAAGCTGTCCTCATGGATCCCTCCTATCAGTTGTGCAAGCTTGGAACAGATTCTGTAACTTCACAGATTTACTAAAATCGGCATGATACATCAAGTGGGGTGGCTGATTTTTTCTTTCATTGTAAAAAAAAAAATTGGAAAAGCGTGACATTGTGGAATTGGGAAATCGTAAAGGTGGAATAGACATCATCACAGTTTTGGAAGCCATCTTGACAGATAGGCAACACACATCAGAAATATGTACAGTGTTTGTATAGAAATCCAGTGGCAAATAATTTTTTTAAAAGTAATGAACTCTGAAATATTTTGTGAATAGCAGAATTATAGTACTAAGGATTGCATCAACCAAATTTGAAGGATGTGTAACTGTGCTAGAGAGTGTCCAGTAATTTAAGTTGTAGCGTTTAGGATGTTATAACAGAACAGAATAAAATCAGTCAAGTGTGTGTAAACATTGAATGGAGCTGAAACTGACATAAACTTTGGAAACAGCCCTTTGAACCAGTACTGAGATAATTTCCTCAAAAAGATGGCTTCCAAAATCATGATGAGGTCTATTTGCAATTTACTGATGGACTAAATATTTGTCACACTTTTCTGGTTCTTTTCATTCAAACAAAATATTAGCCTAACTACTTGATTTCTATTGAGCTAACAGGAACAAATGCCCTTTTCATCATCTGGACCATTTGGACCTATAATAAAATCTTGCATTATCTTCACACAAGGCCCACGATGTATGACTTGTGACCCATGACCCACAACGCATAACCCAACAATGTACAGCACACAGTGCACAATGCACAAACACCAGCCCACGACCCACCCACCTACACTGGCTAGACAATCTCTACATGGCATTATAATCAAGGCCTGGGTTGTTCGAAATCCACCCAATAAATCGGATAAATCACTATCCAGTGGATAGCATGGTTTGTTTCACAACACTTATCTAGTGGATAGTGAGTGATTCATCCAGTAGATAGCATCATCCAGGCCTCCAAAAAAAAGGACAAGGCTTAAAGTCAATGGACTTTTTGGAATGTCAGGATATCTCCTGGCCTGCTCAAAATCCTGAAGAGAATGCTGTAATAATTGCATAACTATTAGTGTACTAAGATACACGTCTAATATGTTCATCCTTCAGAATATCTTACTGAAGAAGGCTTTGACTGACCATGTTTACCTTTGTCAAAAGCGTGTTGTTTTCAGCATACTGGTTTATGAGTTTCTTCACATCTGGGTGCACATAACTGTTGAACTCGCTGCTTTTCAGTTCATACTGGTGCCTAACTGACTTAAGCACTTCTGCAATACTCTGCAGTCCTTTCAGACCCTTTTTGGCGCTCTTCTTGCCACTCTTCTTTTTTTTACCCGCCTTTTTGGTAGCTGCAGGCATTTTTACCTTAATAGCAAATGAAGACAGACTGCGACTTCAAAGATGTTAGACTCCAAGACGAAAAGAAACACACAAAAACAGGACGTTGTGACTCAACACAAAGAATTCAAAGATTTCGAGACCTACGATTTATAACCGTCCAGTTTACATTCACAAAATGGGTTCACTAGCCATTGCATATAAAGGTTATTTAAGTCGAACGCACTTATCTTATGTACGATTTATACTGCTAGTTGGTTATATGCAGTTTTCACCAATACTTGATAGCAACATGCTTCGCCTTTGATACCACATTCGCCAAGACGACCCCGCCAAGACAACAATGTGGAACAGAACTTATTGCTATGGTACCTCTTTTCTAAGTGGGTCCTGAGAGACTGGGACTACTGGAGCTGGGAGCTGACCAAAAGATCGCGGCCTCTCCATGCCAACGCCGAATGCCGAATGCACTGTTTGCTTGCGGTTAGTTTCACCTACCGCATATTTGCTTGCGGTTAGCTTTTATTTGTTGGACAGGACCATATGCAAGCTAACCGTAAGCAAACCTGAGTGAAACTGCAACTTCGTCCCCAGGGCCTTCTCTACATTTCAAAATAGCGAGGTGGGAGAATACCCCCTGGTGAAGGCTGGGTCACGTGGTACAAATNAAAAAAAAAAAAAAAAAAAACCTTGGAGATTTTTATCACGTGACGTGATGAGAAGCTCAAAACAAAATGGCAGCCGAAGTCCATGTATCTGATTACTAGTTGCTAATACGCTCGATCCATTTGCCCGTGGGTTGAACGCTCACGTCAGTTTGTTTATTTGTACTTTTTCTTGGCAATTTTTTTCATGGATGTTGACACTTTTTAAAACATAATTCCTATTTTTTTCTCCTAAAATATAGAAAGATTTAATCATTCTTCCGGATATGAGGAAGATTATTCATGTGAGCTACCAAATTTCGAGCTCAAGCTTTTTTTGACGGGCCTCCACCTAAAAGATGTGCTAATTTAAGCGAGAAGGAGTTGAATCAGCTGGTTGAACAAAGGCACTCGGCACTCGGAGACGGACCAAAAAAGCAACAGACTGGTCTGTATCAGCCTTTCGAGGTTAGTAATGCATAGCAGGAATTTTAGAGAGAATTTTTAGCGATTTGGCGACAATAAAATTCAGCACAAGCTTTCATTGTAAAACTTTTCTGGCATCGAAAGCCATTTAAATGCTTTCGGCGAGCAAACCTTGTACATGAGAGTTTTAACAAATTTCTGTTATAAGTCTTGCACACGAAATCCTTCTGTTCCAATGCATCAGTCATTTCCAGCAGTGCCCATCCCCC